ACTCTTTCCATGAACAAATTGTATGTCTTTTTTAAAACAATAATTTATTTTTATTATTTATATGTTATGTGTATGAGTATATTGCTTGTATATATGTAAGTGCACCTGTGTCATGCGATGTATATGGAGGTCAGAAGAGGGCATCAGATCTAGAACTAGAGTTACTGATGATTTTAGCTGCCATATGGGTGCTGGGAACCAAACCCAGGACCTCTGGAAGAGCAGCCAGTGCTCTTAACCACTGAGCCATCTCTCCAGCTGGAAAAAAATGTTTGGTCTATTTATTTTTATTTTATGTGTATGAGTATTTTGCCTGCATGGATGTTAAGTGCACTGTGTGCATGCAATGCCTGTGGAGGACAGAAGAGGGCATCAGATCCCTTGGAACTGGAGTTACAGTCATTAGCTGCCATGTGGGTACTGGGAACTGAACCCAGACACTCTATGTGAGCAGCCAGTGCCCTTAGCTGCCGAGCCATCTTTCTAGTCATGCAAGAGTTAATTATGATAGGAAGTTGTAGCAGCATAGTTATTATGCTAGAGTACTTAATGTTGAGTATTGTGATGGTTTATATTGATTGTCAACTTGATAGGATCTAGAATCACCTTGAAGACAAACTTCTAGGCCTGTCTGTGATGGGTTTCTAGATGAGGTTAATTGAGGTGGGAAGACTCACTCTAAATGTACATGGCACCAGTCATGGGTTCCAGACTTCATAAAAAGGAAAAAGTAAGCTCAGTACAAACATTTATCACTCTCTGCTACTTGACTGTGGATGTAATGTGACCAGCTGGGTGGTTCCATTCCTGCCACCACACCTTCTAAACACCCATTCTTATACCCATAGGTAAATACAGCTGTCATCACTCATCAAAGAAGTTTCTGTTTTCCTGTAGCTTCAGCTGTCCTGGAACTCACTGTGTAGACCAGGCTGGCCTTGAACTCACAGAGATCTGCCTGCCTCTGCCTCCCAAGTGCTGGGATTAAAGGCATGAGCCACCATGCCTGGCCCAAAGAAATTTCTTTTTGCAGCAGATGAAGGCTGCTCCGTTGAATGTTGGGAGTCCAGTTCCAATTGGTACATCTACAACACAATCCCTACATCAAGGTTCAGGGAATATCACAGAAGAAGATGTGGGAAGATTGTAAGAGCCAGAAGACCAGGACACCTACTATGAGATACTGTCTTCTAGACATAACAGGGATGCTGCACCCATGAAATCTCAATATGGTTGCCTGCATTGTCTTGGTTTGTTCTTCATTGCTGTGACAAAAGACTCTGACCACTACCAACTGGGGAGGAAAGGGTTTATTTATCTTACATCTCCTGGGTCACAGTTCATCAGGGAGCCCAAGGGAGGAACTCAGGGCAGGAACCTGGAGGCAGGAGCTGGAGCGCAGGCCATGGAGGAACACTGCTTACAGGCTTGCTCCCCTGGCCCCTGCTCAGCCTGCTTTCTTATGCAACCCAGGCCCACCTGCCCAAGGGTGGCACCACCCACAGTGGGCTGGGCCTCCCACATCACTCATCAAGAAGATGCCCCTCAGACATGGCCACAGGCCAGTCCAATAGAGGCAATTTCCCGATTGAGGCTCCCTTTGACACTAAAGCTATCCAGCACAACTGACCCTTTGTCAACTTGACACAAACACATCACTATTAAACCATAAGGTTTCCAGTTCTTGTCCCCAAGATATGATAACATTAATATCACAATATACGACAGTACAACCTTAAAAACCCCACAGTCCTTAAAAAAAAATTCCAAACAATCAAAAGTCCATTGTCTCTTTTAAAAGTCTCAACTGTGTATGGGCTTCTGTAAAATCCAAACAAGTACTGTCTTATTTCAAAGGGAAGAATCGGGCACACCTAAGCAAAACCAATGTCCAGCAAAGTAGCTCGAGGCTGGATATCTGGGATTCACTCATGATCTTCCGGGCCCCAAAGGGTACTGACAGCTCCACTGCTCTGATTCTGCCATCCACAGCACACACAGCTCATCTCACAGATCCAGGCCAGCTCCATTCCACACCTACTGCTGTCCTTGGTGGTCGTCCCATGGTCC